CTCTTGGCACTCAAATTTATGGTTTTCCAACAGGTATTGTACCAAGAAAACATAATCATTTGTTATTTTCACAGTTCTAGTAACAATTGTGTATTTATTTCCTAGAGATGTTTCCACACATTTTGTTCTGCAAAACCACGCTGGTTTTAATTTGTTACTTTGAATCCTTTGACATCACTTCCGTTGGTGACAAGAAATTCCTGTGACCTAGTCTGAATATAAGACGGGAGTTTAACGGTATTTCATCTTGCAGTCATGAGTTTCATGCTTCTTGGGTCAAAAAGCTTTGAGCTGTGCTATTTCCAACATTATCCATGCAATCAATTTCCACGTAATTTCCCAAGCAAACAGTTAAGCTGAGGGTTTCAGGTCGTTAAACTAAAACTAAAGTAGTTCCACCGTGGCTATTTGTTCAGCTAATGACTCAAAGTTGTCTTAGTTATTGTTGCAAGCCTTTAATTTGCCGATTTGGTATCTTAAGGAGTGTATTTGGCTGGTGGTGCTAGCCACGTGGCCAGCAACAAGACTGCTGTCTTCATAACCAAACACTTGTAACATAAACATGTAATATATGGTTCTGCTATGCATAATAGTGGGCCCTACAATCACCCACGTAATGTACTATCGACCTGAGTGACTAGGTTGGGCTTTCCGCAAAGTGCGTGGTCTTTCCATGAAGTCACTTCGGTGGTGTGGTTGTAGTACTGTAGAATGAAAGTTTACCTATAAATTTGTATCAGTCCTACAGTTGCTAGGTCTTTTCCTTAGTCTAGGATACGAGTGGAGTGCCCAATCACGGCACTACGAGTTATTCACTAGAGACCAAGCTGCTATCCTTGATTGAAGTTCAATGATTATGGAAGAGTGCATCTCACATCTACTAGAAAATACCTGTTGTTCAATAACTCAAGCGCCCCAAACTTTTGTGGGCATTAGTTGCTTTGATCTCATGGTGTTCATTACCGCCATCTGTCTTCTGTTTTGATTATGAGTCCAGAACTCCCAACCCTCTAAACATATTACCAGGCCAACGTGATTTTACTTTTTATACTTGAAAATGCTGTAAATAGGCTTGAAATGCTCGTTAAATGATGCATTATGCGTTTTTATTTGTCGTAAGTTGTATTTAACACATCTGTTTATTTATTGAGTTCCTAACTGGTCATTTGTACGAATCAGTGTTTATATTCTATTTTAGCAACCAATGCGATTCTTTTATGAGCACGTGTGACAGGGATTCTTATAAAATTTTTATTCAAAAACAGAAACTCGTTAAAAGATTACTCCAATAGTCGTCTTGTACTCATAAATACTCAATCCCCACTTAGACAACTAACTTCTGAAACCATAGCCCGATCGACGCTGCTACCTTGACGCGGTGGTCGGGCTTGCCTATCGTGATGACCCTACCGAGCTATATTGGCTGGAACATATGTTCCTGCAGGTTCTACCATGCCAGGCAGGTCGATTGGCGAACGGTAAGACTAAAAGCAGCAACTCAAGGTCTGAGGGCGAAGTCGTACTGCTGACTGTAGAGAGGTGTGACAGCAGTAAGGTGTTTCCCTCGGACAACCAGCATGACAGCGATGCTGCCTTCCCACAAGGAGGGGTGGGGTTAGAAAAGGTCGACCCTAAAAATGCACACCTCACCTTACCTCACGGATTTCCGTCTCCGGCGGTAAGGCCCCTTGAAGAACGGAGCTAACACGTCAAAAACCTTCCACAAAAAGGCCGTGCGCGACCGGCCTCAAGCAGTTGTCCCTTGGGCTCTGCGGTCACGCTCCCAGGTCGTCAAGACCAGCACTAATCCAATTTCCTTTTCAGGTTCATCAAGAAATACCCTTCCACGGTGTGGGCAGCCGGGAAGTGACATCAGCCCTCATACCCGTAACAGCACAAGAGACCAAGGTGGTCACATTCAAATCCTTCCTACACCTCCTAATACCTCTCTTATCCTCCCGACTAACCCTCCTCACGTCTCTTTATCACCTCGCACCGCTAGGGCAAACGATTCGAGTACGTGGAACGCCATTCCTGGTCTCCTGAAACCACGCTCTAAACTACACGTAGGAGCTTTTAACGTACGAACACTTTGCCAAATAGGACAGCAGGCTTCCTTAGCTAAAATGTTAGAATCTCGCGCCATCGATGTGTGCTGCGTCTCCGAAACGCGCATACAGGACCCAAGTAGCGTCATTCATTTGACCTCACCATGCCAATATAAAGAACCGACTCGATTTACGCTTCGTGTATCTGGAAGCCCTGATTCTGCTTCCCGTGGCCTCGCCGGCGTATCTATAGCATTGAGTCCTAGGGCAGAACTAGCTCTCTTAGAGTGGATCCCAGTAGACAGTCGTTTGTGCGCTGTCCGACTAAACGGAACAGTGAGGATCCGAAAAGGTAGGGACACTCGTCGTTGCCTCTTCGTCGTCTCTGCCTATTCTCCCACTGACTGCAGCTCAGATGATGTAAAAGATGAGTTTTACAGAAAGCTTTCGGACCTTCTCCGAAAAGCTAAGCGCTCGGATGTAGTAATAGTGGCCGGTGACTTTAATGCTCAAGTAGGTAAACTAAGCGATAAGGAAAGACACCTATGTGGATCCTATGGTGTCGTGGCTCCAAGAACAGATAATGGCGACCGTCTGTTGCAGCTATGCTCAGATAACCGCCTGTTCCTTGCAAATACTAACTTTAAGCATAAGGAAAAACATCTTTTAACATGGCGACCCCCTAATTCGTCCCAACGTTGGACCCAAATAGATCACATCGCTATCAGCCACCGATGGAGGGGCTCGATAGAAGACTGTCGCTCATTCTGGAGCACATGCCTAGATTCAGATCATGCTCTAGTGCGAGCGCGTATTTGCTTGCGTCTTACTGGACGTAGGAAAGATCCTGCAAGGAAATCTCTTAGGGCCCTACTTAATGATAGTCAAGCTAAGAATATATTTCAGGAACAACTAGGAAAACAGTTAGGCAGCCATGTATGTGATGCCCACCCCGAGGCAGCATGGAACGATATCCGAAAAGCTGTGGAAACAGCAGTGATATCTGCTAGTAAGGTAAACCGTAAAGTTAGGGAGCAACACTGGATCTCAGCAGCATCTATCGCACTGATAGATGCTCGAAAACTCATTCCACCTGGCTCTGAACATAATGAAGAGCGGAGTCAGCTTAAGCGCAAGCTGACAAGAAGTCTACGCAATGATCGCGAACAGTGGTGGGTAGCGAAAGCAAGAGAGATGGAAAAGGCAGCGGCAATAGGTAATAGCAGACAATTGTTTAGACTCGTTAAGGAAACCGGAATCAGGAACCCGACCGTTAGCGAAACAATCTCAGAGAAAGATGGACATATTATTCATTCTCAATCCAGGAGATTGGATCGATGGGCAGAACACTTTAGGGATCAGTTCAACTGGCCTTCAGCCACACTTCGGTTTCCCACGATCTCCAGTCAACCTGAATGGCAAGTTAATGTAGGTCCTCCGTCCCTTTACGAAGTTGAAAAAGCCATAGGAAATCTGAAACGAGGGAGAGCAGCAGGCCCTGACAGGTTTACTCCTGAGATTTTTAAGGATGGTGGTCCAGTATTAGCAATGAGATTAACTGAGGTCTTAGGTAGAATTTGGGAACTGGACGTAATCCCATCTGACTGGTCTCAATCACTGATTGTGCCAGTTTTTAAGAAAGGACAAAAGTCCTCTTGTGATCACATTTGAGGTTGTGAACCTCGAAATGCTGAGTTTCAGACTAGAATAGGACAGATATTCTGTTTCTCCTTATTTTCTATATTTCCCTAGCTAATTTCAGTCCATGGTGAAAGCTAGCTATATACATGTAGCAGCTATTATTTTATTATGTACCTAAACCGTTTATCTTAACTTTTGAACAGATGAATTATTCTGATCTTTCTAGTCTTTCTATCATTTATGTGTCGCCTCGAGCATATGTGTATGGTAGTCTTATGTGTCTGTAATATATATAGTGCTTATAAATATTGTCAGTCAGTCAATCAGCTACAACGTAGGACCAGGCACATATATGCATCGGTCCTCATTAACACAAAAAGATGGACACCGGATTCATAAAAGTAGTTAATTCAGAGGTGGTAATAAATATTGAGCGGTTTTTTGATGAGTAGGTCTGTTCACCATCTCTTTCAATATCCCTCATTGTCTGTCTTCGTTAATAGATGTCTGGAATATATATATCCAAAATTACTCTCTTATTTAACATTCAATATTCTATTGTTAATTCGATCGAATACACTGTAAGTCAACTAGGATACACTTATGCCCTTAGCTTCAGTCTCGTCTGATCACAATGTAGTCAAACAATGGGATTATGCACCCAGCCTATGTTAATTCACTCTATGTTTCGTTAGCTGTTGCCACATCGTACGGCTCGAAACACTTGTCTTTCAATTATTAGGTTCCAGGTCTTTACCTCGCTCCACCTACTTTAATGAGTGGATAATATATTTAGGCAGCATCCCAACAATGTAGATATGGTGTTTGTTTATCACTTTGACCTTTCATTCTAACAGACCATAATTTGTTTAAGTTATTACTGTCACATGGAAAATTTGACAAAAATGCATGCAAAAAATTTTTACTGGAGAAATTATTTGCTATCTAAACATGTATTTAAATATAGTGTTTATTTCTAGAATAATCCAAAGTGTCATCCAGTGTTAATCAAATTCATCGTATCTGATGTCACTAGTTCCTTTATGGTTTTTTACATGAGACCAATAACATATATCTACTATATCAACAACACATCATTTATGTTAGTTTCATCTTTTTAAAACAAATATTATTACTGAGACAAACATTTAAATCAATTTACTTGTTACTAAAACTAGGAAACAAGATTCTGTAAGAAATAAAAATCCAACACAATTCATCATTTATTAATAGAATTCTTTGAGTACGATCTATTAAGTCAAATAAATAAGAATTCTTGACGAAGTTGGAGTTTAATTATCTCTTCATATATTATAAAGGATTGTTCAAGATTTCAGTAATAGTAAACTCCTTGTCTGAATCTATGATAAACTTAAACAAATCTATAAAAGAGATAAAAATTTGTGAAATTAGTTACGAATTCAAAAATAGTTATATATAAGAATAAACTTTACTAAAAGTTCTCACTTGAATAACTACAAGAAAGTACTACACACACATTCATTATATTTTAATTCAATATTCATATAATCTTGGTCTATCGACAATTAAAATCAGTAGATCCAGGTTGCATGACACAGATACTTTACTTTGAAGATGTTTATCACTATAGGACAACATCTGGTGAATAACCACTGAAAAATTGGAAGCAGCAGCTTTTTTGATTTGATGTGTCCAATTCACACAAAAGTATACAGTTTTGAGACCATGTAAGTCAGCATCATAAACAGATGTCTGCGTTTCACTGTAGAATTGCTAAATAAAGTAAGTAGATTTTGACTCAACACTTGAGTGACGTCATCGCCATAGAGAAACTTGATTGCGCCCGTACATTGAGTAGATGGCTACACTACTGGATTGGACAAAACAGATATTCAGTAACTCTTAACTTTAAAGTAGTTGTTACCGTTCTGTAATTAGCTCTATCTTCAGACCAATTATTTCTGCACATATTGCATGCCTGTGTACCCTAATTTTGTATTTCTCAATTGTGAGATATCAGAGGTACATGCAACTAAGACGCAGTAAATGACAAAGGCTTGTCAACATTATCTTCAGTACAAACTAGTTTCAAACACTGTCAAATTAATGAGTCTTTTCATTACCTGAATAGGTAATAAGGTTATTTTCAGACCCAGTAATTTCCTTCACAATATCATCAATTATTTCATCGCTGAAGTCCAGTTCAAAATAGCGTAAAATACTGCGTAAATCATCTTTTGACAGTGTTCCATCACCTAAAATAACGAAGAAATAACTATTCAATATTATACATAGTACACTTTAACAAACAACGGAAAGGTTCTACACAAATATTTGATGTAACCCCATTATGTAAGGCCTAGAAATGCTACCATCCATTATCCAATGGTCGGTAATCGTCTGTTCACTGTGTTGTATGTGTGTACCAACGTAGGGAAAACTGTTTCAAGTACATCGTTTTTCAATTGTGTAATTGACGTTTATTACTTCTCATATCAGTGAGGAGTTTGATTTTCATTAAATGGGATACTTATTTGTTAAACAAGTCACAAGTTAGACTCTTGCCGTGAAATCTATTGTTACCTACCATGATATGTGGTTCATGCATTCATTTTAAGTAATAAAATAATAACCGTTTAAATCAATAAAAATTTACAAAATATTTTGCTTTAATTCTCATTAAAACACAATATTCTCCAATACATTCTTTGATCATTACATCGATCTTATTCTTGTTATTGTAAAAGAGATCATATGATTGATCACCTTTAAGATGTAACGTAATTGGTTACGTTCTACTTTTACACCGATGATTAAAATGTTATGCTAAGCTAACATGGTGAAATGTCCAATATTTAGAAGGTCGGTTTTATAATAAGTTAATCGATTACAAATATTTTCTACTTAGACTGTTCACAGTAGCATTGATTCGAAAATTGCTGTTGTAGGGGTGAGAACTAAAGTTGAATTAATGCATATATTGTGTCTGGTTTTGAACTATCAACATAGTTATTGCGATAAAATGTACGGTGACCGTATCATAAGTGTTAGACAACTTTAATTAAGGATGAAGTGAATACTGGTCCAGATGCTGTTGTTGTATTCAACCTCTCAGTAATCAAAGTAGATTATTTATATTTAAACCAACGTAAAACTTTTCGGCCGTTATTAACATAAGGTTTTCAAATGACTGGTTGTTATACTATCAGCTCTTCGATCTCAGATATATTACTATTGTAGGTGATATGTATATACCAGTTTTATCTTATATTAAGAAGAGATAATTACTGTGTTTTGGTTTTGCAACTACGCCCAGTTAACAAACTATCAAATTATAAACCCTGGTAAAGAAATATATTGAGTTGTTTATCAGCAATGGACAAATTTCATACTATTTTCTGTTAATTTTTAAACTCAAATGAAAGTCTGATTTTAATAAAACAATGACTGAAGTAATATAATAATAGTTCTGTGTAAATGATATCATTAATATTCATAATCCATGGTAGTTCTCGTCACTTAAATATACCTCATTTTTACCTGAAGTTTGTGCTAATGATGTTCAAAAGAATAGTGAAACTTTCACTACAAAACCATCTAGCTCATAGAGTGAACCTCCAACAAACCCATCTACTTGAGCTACAAACCCTAACCATCATCTCAATACTTTGAAACCATTGCATATAAAATGTATTCGCTTGCCAATAAAAGTCATAACTAACTACTTAGTAAGGTAACATGATTTAGTACTTTTTCAGAGTAAATGTAAATGTTTTCTATGAAATCAAGATGAATTATTCATGTATTTGTTTGGAGGATGGACAAATGTTCAAACAATGGTGAGTCGAACATGATCTGTTTACATAATTGTTTCTAAACATCATTTATCTCTTTTCAAGAAAAAAATAAGCGACGCTCTTCACAAATGAAATTGAGGCGATTTCTCGAAATATCTGAAAGCATGATCAGATACCTTTACTCACTTTTTATGAGTGTACATCCACTACTATTGTCTACAGTTTCGTACGGAGTTTCAGTGGGAACATTTTGAAGAATAATGCAATATTGTCAATGTGGTTTCTAGAAATAAAACCACTTATTTCGGGCTTATCAGTCACTTAGATTTGTATCCATTTTTGGACAAATTGACATCTGGGAAATAAACATCTGACTGACGATTATTGGTCATCCAAATAATATGGCCCTAACTTGATTCACTTTACTCGTGAATTATTATTCAGGTTTTTAATCTGAGTACAAGTTTCAAAACTGAATGGAAACAAAAACATCGGAGAATGAATATCAAACTGATAAATTACAAACAACTGCAATCTACAGAGTGAATTTCTACAGTCAATTTTGATTAAAACACATTCAATATCGATAAAGCTCTACAGAACTTTATATCGTCAAACAGATTTATCAATACAGTCGTCAAAGTACAACAATTGGAAAGTACGCGTTCCGATTAAATATTTCAGTAGACTTAATATAAATATCTGAAGTAATAATTAGAAAGAAGAGTATCATACAACTTATACAAATCCATTTTATTTCATTGATACGCTACTAACGGTTAAGCGATACACATCAATAATTTTACCGAAGGGTTTCTGAAAATCCGTGGTATTCTGGATAGATTATTGTATGTTCTATTTAGTCACATTCATTGATTTGAATAAAACTCATTAATAAATCTTTTGAACCCATAAAGAGAAGCTGTTAGTTACGTCTAATAATTTATTGTTTGCGTTGGCATCCTCCATATATTTCGGCAAATAACCTGACCCGTACATCTGTTATCAGATCGGTCAGCAGACTAGATCTGTCACAGTAAGAGTGGTAGCTATTAATGAATTTCAAGACTACTGAAAACCAAGTTCTCATAATCTGAATCACAGAAACCCATACTCATATGTATTTAAGCACCCAAGAGGTGATGCATGTATATAGATGAAAACGACTGCTTTAGTTGACGTTATATTGTACAAAACCTAACATATTATGTATTTAATGTTTGGATTTTTTATCAGTCCACTGTCATATGTCCCTTGTCTATTAATGAGTCATTCATATTTTTAAGTTACATGTCCTTGTGCTTATGACCTTTCTTATGATTGGTTAGTTATCTTTATCCGTAATATTAATGTTAACACCAACTAATCAATAAACTAGATGAGAAATGTAGTCAGCTGTTAAATAATGAAGTCTTCAAAGTGGGGAGTAGAATAATTAATCATAACAACTATTTGGAAAAATTATAACACTCAGGGTTGTCATGACATCCACCTTGGCAATTTTTTTAAGAGAAATGAAAGACTTTAGTAGTTATCGTTGAAAATTAGTTGCTTAAAATGATTGTGAAATATTGACAAGGGAAATGTTCATCTGGGAGAATTTAGAACAACCGACGTGATAGAACTATTCTGCAAACTGATAATATGTCGAATAATTTTAGTCCTACGAAAACACTACATATTATACAAATTGTTCCGTACATTGGAATAATGTAGAGGAAATCTATTAATTTTTGATAAGCATTTCTTAAGAGTTGATAATCTTCTAATATGAAGTACAAAAGAAATGATTTGATATTAATTTGGAAAGAAATTCTATCAACCTAAATGACTGTTATCTTTGAAGTGGTTGATTGTGAATGAATAAAGCCGTGATTTATATTCTTTTTTTAACTCAAATAATTTTTTTAGGCAAAGATGGATAATGGCTAGCAGTGGAGTCCAGGACGCGCGTTTCGTCCTATTTGAGACTCGTCAGCTGGATGTACCTGCACCCCAGAGTTGATGTTCACCCAGGGACTCGAACCCATTATCGTTCGCTTCGAATGCATCCTCGATTCCACTGCTAGCCACTATCCATCTTTGCTTAAAAAGCTTGTGACTTAAGGCAATATCAAAGCAATCCGCTCAGGATGCACATATGCCAATAAGAGACTGATCAATTGCAGACCCAAACAACAATGGAAAGATACAAACAAACAACACCAAGTGAAATCAAATAGCCTTTGCTTAAGATGTATAACCAGTTTTTTTTTCACTGGACTTTAAAGTATATATTATCCATATACCTGATTAGTGAACTCTATACTCATATGAAGACAATGAATACAGTTATGTTAAGGAAACCTGGGATTTAAATATTACCAGAACTACTACTAATCTGAAGTGTGACAAACTGATTTAAGCAATCAATCTATTCACCAGATTCTAACGTATGCTTATTTGAGAAAGTACTTTATTTTTAACTAGTTAGATTAGATACAAATGTCAACATTAGATTAGAATTCACTTGGTACTGTTTTGCTTGTATCTTCCCATTAAGGTTTAAGACTACAATTGATCAGTGTGTTGTTGGCATATGTGCATGGTGTGCGTACTGCCTCGATATTGTGTGAATTGACAAGTTGTATAAGCAAAGATGGGTAGTGGGTAGGAGTGGAATGCAGGACGCGCGTTTCGTGCTATTTGAGACTTGTCAGTCGGATGTACCTGCATCTCAGAGTTGATATTCACTCTGGGACTCGAACCCAGTACCATTCGCTTCAAACGCCATCGCGTTATCCACTCAGCTACTGAGTCCTGATAGCCACTTGCTTGTGCAATGGGGTGAATTTGAATTCACTTGGTATTAGATTAGAACTTGATATTGGTAATTGCCTTATAACAGATTTTCTTTAAACGCTTTACCCTTTTCAATATACACTACATTTTGGCAAACTATCATTTCATAGATTTTTTTAGATAACATGAATCATGTGATAAACAAAATATTTATCTTATGTTCGTATGTTCACCCGTATAAATAGTGAATAAAACAGGGCTGTTTTCTTGTATGTCAATCTAGTAATTGTTGTAGTAAAATAAGTTGTGTTTTTTCTTTAATATGAATTCTTTGTATTCCAAATAAACCTGTGAAAGACTTGTGTTATTCTATGTGACTAAATGTTTTTAACTAATTTTGTATTGTCTATTTCTTCAACGATTCTTAGAGATTTATTATTATTATTATTATTATTATTATTATACACTGAAAAAGTCCAGTTTATATTTCAGGGCAAATACTTTTGACTGATTGATGGTGTTGTTATAGTTAGTCCTTTTTGAACTTTTACTACTCGACCTACGTCTTGAATTGAAAATCTAACAAAATTCATCGAAAATAATCAGCTTTATAAGCGGTATGTACATTATGTACGAAACAAAACTGTAGATACAAATTATGCATTAAAATAAACTTAACACTTCGAAATCAATATTAGCCTTTCATTTAGAAAAGAAAAGAACAATCATAATTAATTTAATTTGTAATGGTTTGGATTATCACGTTGTTGATATATTTACTCTACAAATAGGACGAAATGTGAGTCATGGATTTCATCGCCAACCGCTTTTCATTTATTTTAAACACTCAGCTTCACTTCTCATATGTACTGATTTGTAGAAAAGATGATTAAATCAAGAGATATTTATAAAAATCCAGTATGGACAGGTCAGTATCTTAGCTATCATAGCCATTATGTAGTTCAATACAAAGGTTTGATTAAGTGCCTACTCAATAGGATTAACCGTATCTGTACAGTTGATACTACTAAAGACGACGTGAAGCTGCTAAACGAAAGATTGATGGAGAGTGAATACACACTAAAAGTCATAAATTGATGGAAGAACCAGTGAGTTGATATCTACTATTACTCTGCCGTATGAAAAATCTATCTACATCACTCTATCAGTCAGAGGTGAATCAAATAGCTTATGTAGATATGCAGGCTTGGGTCGATTCACAATATAACATACTATACAGTCAGAGTCATAAATACTGAAAAACTGTCCATGCTTTTTACCACAAGGAAAACATCATGTGAAAGATTGAGCCACACGCCACTATGTTTAATAACTTACATTTGTATGTGAAAACAGATTTAGAAGGAGGATTAATCGTGATTTGCAAGTTAGGGTGGCTGAACATGTACAAAAATGGCCCCAAAGTCAAATTAATCAAAATGACGCTGTGTGAGCTGATAACAAGCACTCATCTCTCATTGTCAAACATAGTTGAAAAAGCCATAAGACTGATCTTAACTCAACCTTTGTAGTTATCTTTGGAGAATACTTAAGCAAATTGAAGTCTTAGATATACGAAAGCTTACTTCTCTCTGTGTCTGAAAGCAGTTTGTACTTCCACTACCCAGGTAACATCGGTTTACTAATCAAAGTGAAATGACTCATACTATTATTATCTCTTTTTGAAACCAAATAAATGCGTCATCAGTTTATTCGAAATGTATTGCACCAGGATACCAAATATTTCTGATAAGGCTCGTCTTCTCATTGTATTATCTAAATTCATCAAAGGAACTAAGTATTTTTGACAACCTTAAGTTGAAACTACATTAGAAGCTGAAAGAAATATTGATAACTTGAAAAAATTTCATGTTCTGTTTAAAGGCTGATGAGTATTTTTATTTCAGCGTGAGAACGGATGTTGCTGATATAATAATATGGTTGTCAGTTAAACTCGACCTACTGAGTAATTAAGAATACATTGTGTGAAAGACCCACATTTATTTGATGTTAGACAATTTGACTGATAGACGTAGTTGATGGGACTGCAAAACGGTTAAATATAATATGCAGTCTACAATTTCGTTTAGTTTACACACTTCATACATGTGCAAATCCACAATCCGATCAATGATATTAGAAAAACAGTTTTCTGACTAAATAAGAGAATGATTCAGCCAATTGGAATAAAATTAACTGATAAGAATTATTTAGAGGAAAATGTTAGGACTTAATAACCTTCTCATCTATCCTGACAGAATCTACCCTGTTAAATAGTCACTCATTAACTAATAGGCTGAAAACACCATTGAAATATTTTTTTGATATTTCGAAGTTTCAGACTTAACGTATAATACAGAAGTGACCAGTTACACAATTCCTAGATTTGAATCAATGCCAAGTATATAATCAACTTCATATTAGTATGCCGGTTATTCATTTTGAACTAAAAATGTTCAAAATTACTGCTCTATTCGTAGGTTAATTTTATTTTAATTATAAGCAATCTTTCATTGTGAAAACTGTCAGCAAAGTTCAAAAGTTTGTCCGGTGTAATTCAATTTTTCATCTGGCGTTACGATATCTACATTAATTCTCAGGTCACTTAATACATTTTGTCACCATAATTGCGAGGGAGATGAATATTTCTGTCTGAATAAACTAACTTATGCTATTAATTCAATAAATATCTTTAACAGTTAAACAAATCAATGTGAAACTCACCATCTTGATCTAGTATTCGAAATAATTCTTCAAAATCATGGTCTAATTTCTTCTTGTATATTCGTTCAACAACAAAAGCGCACAGTTCTGAAAAATCTAATTTCCCATCTCCTATAATATGTATGTATTTGTAGTAATATGCTTTTTCAGCTTTAAGGAAAATACTTACGATCAACATCTAACTCAAAGATCAAATCATGTAGTTCAGCTTCTGTTAATGCATCACCTAATGCTCTCATAACGAGCAGTATATCACCAGCTGTAATAACATTTTTATGACGTTGAGCTAATATAGAGAAAATGCTAGATAACCCTTAAAGTAAACAAAACGACAGTAATGATTTTAATTCCATCTAAAGCGAAATATACTCAACATTTGTGAACTATTAATATGTTGACTTGCACTGGTCACAAGTTTACGAACCTATTCAATGAAAAGTGAACGAAAAGTTAATCTGATTCATTTATTTAAATCACGTTTAAAATTATTTATTCAAGGTAGTATATATATATATATAAATGGATATTTTATAATCTCCAGAAAACTCAGCTTTCCGTTACATTTAGGCACAAAGTTTCGATGATGCAGTATAAAGCATGGTCTTTCAAGTATGTTGGCGATCAATAACCCTGAGAAATAATGGATTAGTTGTCATATTGTGTCATTAGTAGTTCCAGATCGAAGTTTCTTTGAATAATCGTTTCTAAACTTGTGAGTTCGAATTTTTAAGACAGTATGAACTTTCGTGATTTTGCAAATATAGCATTTCGTCAGATCATTGGGAAGGGAATACATAGATTTCATCGTTTTGTACTAATCTCTTTCTAGTAATTAACTTCAAATATGGAACATCATTGTGCTTTAGATTCATTGCACAGACTAGTGGTAATCAGGACTCAGTAGATAAATGGATAACGCGATGACATTTGAAGCGAACGGTACTGGTGTTCGAGTCCTGGAGTGAACATCAACTTCCGGATGGTGGTACTTCCAGCTCACGAGTCCCAAACGGGACGAAACGCGCGACCTATATTTCACTGCTAGCCACCATCCATCATTATGTCCTATTACTTAATTCGCTGATAAAGGTAAAGTCGTTGGCTAATCAATTTTACAAATCGGAGATAGACTTATTTACTATACTGTAACCAACTTTTGTTTATATCCATTTTTCAACAATGTTTTAATTTTAGTCAAATTTAAAGTTTAATGATTCTACCTGTTTCTTAGAGTAAGAACCTAAAAATGCCACATCAATTTCAGAATACGTAGTTTGTTTACTTTCAAAATATCTGATTTGTGAAGCTTTGTAGGTCAAAGGTGTCTAAACACGATGTTTGATCTGTAATCTTAGAAATAAAATAAGAATTAGTAATGGAATATGTATAGTTTGTTTATGATACATCAAGAGTAATCAATTTTAAAATAAAAATTCTTTGTTTATAAAGGCTTGTATTTGAACTCACTAGCTCCGACGATAACGAAATAATGTTTGGAGAGATAGCTAATGAGTTCAGGTTTCAATGTGAATATCAGTATATAGGTGCAAGTAAATCTAGCTGACAGGTCCCAAGTCAAAAGAAACTTGTATCAAGTACTTTATTGTTAGCCATAATCTAATTTTTATTAAATCTCATTTTTATTTCATCACTTCATAGTGGAATTCTATAGGTTTTTAGTAGATGATAACAATTTACCAAAAATTATTAAGTATTGTTCTATAGTGAAATGTTTAATAGAAATTTTATTATAATTTAATAAAATGGTTTGAATGTGCTCACGTTTTTATGTGAGTTAAGCAATTAATTCAGATTATTTTAATTATTTCTTTCAATAAAATAAACTTATATCATATGGATTGGAGTCATATACATTTATTAGTAAAAAATCACTATAAATGAATGAATATTGGTCATATTATTATTACTGTTATTATTATTATTATTATTATTATTATTATTATTATTATTAAACTCACGGTATTCCATCTTCCACCCTTTTTATTTTCTTTTTGGTCTTCCTCTGTGCATTCTGGTTCGATTGTTTTTTTTATATGTGTTCCACCAGGTTGAAAATTCACATAATCTTCATCTTTTTGTAAAACCATGATATTGAGAAATGAACAGGATTATATAAATTCGATGTTGTGATTAAAGTAGACTTTATTTTACACAACTTAACCAACCATCTATTGTCATAGTACTATGCTGATGAATGATTGGTTAAATAATCGATTGACCTTAGTAGCCTATGAAAGCTTTGTATACGTATGTATTAGCAACCTAGAGCAACCAGTCTTTATACAGGTGTTTATGGAAATAATCAATCTATCCTATCTAAAGAATACAATTCTATGAGGATTCACACAACTTTATTGAATTGAAGTTATACTCTACTAATTTTTTTTAATTTCCAATATATCAATGTCCTTTAAGTAAATTTCAGAATTCATTGGAGATTTATCCACTCTCGAACAGTCGTTTGGATAGTATTTAGATTTGAAAAAGTGAAAGCCCATATCTTTCAAAGGTAGCCCAGTCGATCATGGTAATTATTGATGTGATATCAAGCATATGAGAGAGTAAGTGTTTCCGAACATTTACAGATACACCTTACTGGTAAGTGTGGATAAACTGAATCTTTGTATTATTACACGCTGAACCCAATGCTTTAATGATACTGATGTAGGGCCAGAGAAATGTCACTAAGCCCTAGCCAAATCATCTGACAGTTGGGTCATTGAATATCGAGCAAATCATCGATCCTCGTCAAGGTCAGGGGCAACCAACGCGCATTAGTTAATCGTATGCCATGGACTGGCCCATGCGGCAGTGGTCTCACTTTCGCTTGTATCTACTTTAACTAATATATTTCGGTAATAACGTCCTCTGTGTTGCACAGTCTCCAAAGCATCTATGGTACCTTGATAAGTCAATGGGGTAGTCCACGTAAGGTGCTGACCACGAGGTGTGACTTCGACGTTAGCTAGTTTGTCACACCATTCATGTCTAACTCGAGTAGGCCTCCAACCATTTCGACATAGATCATCTACGTTGGTGATATACACTGAGTTACTAATCTTACTGGGAAAGTACTTAATATGGTTCATATTCCGAATCGTTATCCCAGGAAATGCTGTTTATCTATTTTTCTCTCTCTCATATATATATACACTGTTTCTGTATACGTTCAGAAAGCGGATGGAAAAGACTATCGACGTCAACTGTTACTCACATAATTCTTCTCAGATACGTTACATAATAATATGTCACTTCAGTACAAAACGATTATACTTATAATGGATATAACTGTTTATGGCTATATATTAGCAAGTTATATAATATTCGTAAATAGTTTAACTCTTAATTGGTTCAACCTACATTTTATAAACAACTACCCACATCCATGTTCATCATCACCATAATCAAGGAGGTGAACCAGATGTAAAAGGTTTTAAAGCTTATTTTCCTTAAAACTCTATTTGTGATCTATTTTTGACTTGAAAAATAGTGAATTTACTTGCTTGAGTTTGTATTGTTACAAATAACCACAGTAGGCTGACTAAACATTCACTCAGGTTGTGAGCAAAAAATACGTCAAACTACTATTAAACTGGAATAGAGGCTATGTAACAAGCACAAACATTACAAAAATTGACGTGTGACGGAAAAAAATGCTGATAATAGCTGATAATAACGACACAAAAGCCCGCGACAATATGTAACATGTGCGCGAAAACCCCTGGCTTAACGGTTTTCCCGTCCCGTAAAATAGTTGTTTAAAGACGCATGACCTTGGATTTTTCCGTTTTCGCTTTGTATCCCCCATAGCACTGATTATTGCTCACAAATACACTGTTACACACATATGCCTTTTGTTCTCAATTACCTGGTGTTATGATAACAGAACTCTAATGTATTTGCTATCCACGTTTACAGATCACAATGATATCCTCATTATATGCTTTGTCTGGATATGCATCTCAAACTATAACAATTGCGATTGGAATTATTAACCACTCATGATTGTGCAGTGCTAGATCAAATAACATCGAACACGCCAATTCCTGACAATTTAAGTAACGTCCAGTATATTTTTCTTGTGTGTATAGATTATATTTAAAATATTAATACATTAATTTTTAGGCGTAATAACTCTATCATTATTTTTGGGATTGATATATTCTTGGTCCTCCAGAGAGTAACTAAATATAGACAGAAATAGAGTGAGGTTTCAGTCATCTTAGAAGTGTTATCTTCGTAAATACTTCGGTGAAAAGACATTAGGATGGGATGAATGCGTGAAAATCATTGGAGCTACGGTAAGTCTTCTAAATGAACGTCCGATCCAACTTTCTAGACGCTTCTAATAAAACCAGGCTAAATCTACACGACAACTTGAACACAAGAGAAAAGGTGTGAAGTACGAAAAGAATGCTTAATTCCAAGGTTACTTTATGTAAATATCCAGTCCGAAATATGACATGTGACTCTTTACCTTCTAGATGTTTTTCAGAAGCTTCTATTCCATGAAGGCTGGATAAAGTATTTTCCAGGGTTTTCTGGGATCTCATAAACTTTTCCGAGCAATTCTTTGGAACTCTTCAACATCACAATAGGTACAACTTGGTTTTAAAAAAGAACCATTTGACTTCGGAATCAAATATGAAATTCTGTTTTGGCTATTATTTTAATTTCGCTTTTCGTAATAGATAAGTTCAATTTCTCAGTTTCTACTTTTTTTTCTACATAGAATAGTTATTTGTGTTTATCTGAATAATATTTACAAGATCTTATCAGGGGTCCTAAGAGTCCATGATTTTTCGAAAAACAAATGGTTTTTTTAATCAAAATGAAAATAAAATAATTTATAGAAATATTATTAGATTAAATTTATTCTTACTATTGAACAGTTATTTTAATTAGGATATTAAAACAATCGTTTAGCTTTTAATACAAACTCAAGTGGATCCCTACTTCAATGACATCTTACTTATCTAGTTTACGATATAATTCTTTTGTTCACATTATGTTTACTGTGGTCATCATATTAATCATCATTTCAGATATCATGCATTGCTATCTTTCCTATATTCTTTTTAAAATGTATTATTTTCTATTATAATTGTACAGTTTGATTTGAAGAACTTTAAAAACTATTGAAACATTCAGCTACGATTTTGTTTATCTGATAAACGACTTATAAAGTTACAAACATTTCAATAAATTAGCTATTTTACTTAAAAAAAATTAATCAGTTGACTTCAAGAATGTTGACTATATCTGTAATCAAGAGTTTCATTCTTAGAACCTACCCCTCAAAACAAATGTGACCATGATTAACTAAGAGATGTGTTACTGTATTAGCTTGGGAATTACACATAAAATCCAGTAAAAGAAGTACAAGTCAATAAAAGTCTATTTCAGAGAAGTTGAAGAAAAAATAAAAAGTATTTCAATTCCTTATAATAATATTACGTGATAAATATGTCCTTCGTGTGATGAACTCTGTGAGTTTCAGAGGTTGACTACATCATGGTGCAGTGAAAGATTTTAAACGGTACAATGATGTACAATATATGTTGCGTGGTATGGATTCCTAATCAGTAATATGTAATTTTTCTTTGGCATTTTTACTAATCAGAACACCTAAGAAAGGAAGTCTTTTGTTTATTTTCTTCCCCGATATATATGAGGTTTTGTTTGAAAACAGTTTGCCACTTTGTGATCTTTTTTTAGTTTGCTTCATCTTGTACTGGTTAACATCTGACCTGAAGGTACTTTTCATACTGGGGTAGCTTGAATAGTAATGTTAGTGAGGAAATTTTGAAAGAAGAAAAACAAGAGGGGACATAAGACAACGATTTAGTAAGTGCATATGATGTACTTAGAATTTATACGTAGAGTTAATCAAATATAGGCCGAGTAATAAGTGGGAGATGTTGACGGGAGTGCGCTGTTGGTTGAGATTTGGCATAACTTCTTGAAGAAACAGATATACTATATTGATTGAAAATTCAGCTTAGTTTGCTGAGATGAACAGATACATATTTATGAATAAGTTGTGAATATATTTCTTAATGAGGTCAGTCAATATAAACTTCTTATTCACTCTTGATTCCCATAATGAAGTATTGAACTTGGATGACCGCAAAACACAGTACCAGTTAATAATGCTAGCGATCGATAATAATTGGCAATACAACATGAACGAGAATATAACAATCCGATAATCAAAACCAGAAGTCCTAGCATGAGACTTGAAATCCTTTAAACATCTTATCATTTGAAATGTGTCTTTTGCCTAGTGAACCTAGATTTTCAGTTAGACTATGGGCAAAACAAAAGCCTTTATTCTTTGTATCACTATTTTTGTAATAATTTGGACATTGTCAGTGCCAATTAATTTTTTCCTGTGTTTATCTATATGTTGTTATTAAGTTTGAAATATATTCATAAACACGACCTTATTAGTTCTATTAGGAGTGGGTTTGGATACTTAGTATATTTCAAAAAGAGTTCAATCATTTATTATTGTAACATTTCAGTTCATTAGGCTAAACCACTCAAATAGTTAGAAGGATACCATATTACTCCACTATTCTTATATGTTATATTGATAATGTTCAAAGAAGCAATATAGGTTTGTCAATCGAATTACCTATATTGAATAGTCAAAAATTGTAAAATATACAGCATAAGCTACAAAACTTGCTCTATCATCTATCATTAAGTCATATTTAAATAAAAAAATATTTATAGGATATGCATGCGGACAATAGTTATGTCATGAATGAGTGACATCGACATACAATAAATAGCCACACAAACCCCACATGTATATTGTGGTGGTATATACGAATATGCCTACATGAATTAGCTTCTATTTGGATAGACGATGAGAGTAGGCATGTAAAGTATGTTATTTATGTTAACAGATATAAGTAGTATGTAGCACCGATCGAAAATGGAGTGCATGCTAGAGGAGGATTGGGTAGATTCGACTGAAGAAAACAGAAAAGTAAACAACGGAGTTGTACGAATCATGCAGCACTTTAAGGATAACTGAGAGAGGTGCAAATTATGAATTTGATGCATAGTTTTCACA